ATATGCCCCAAATTTTGTTCACAGGAGTATACTTTACTCAATTGTTTAAAGCTATAAATAGCTCAAAATAAAAGTTTTCTTGACTCTAAAAAACAAAACAAGGATCGGCAACATTTTAAGCAAAACATTAAAAAGATTATTGTAGACTTCTATTAGTTTAGTCAATGCAGTTAACTCCTGTTTGATAGTCATGAACATTTCAGCTCTCCATGAGAGTCCTGAAAGTTTTTTCCTCTATTCTGATGTCACAGTCTCCAAAGTTATCAGAAAATCTTCATTCAAGAACATCTGCTAGAGTTCTATAGTTGATTATAAATGACCTTCTAAAGAGGACCAAAACAAGACAACAATTATCTGTGGATGACAAAACATCTTAGGAGAGCCACAGTTGAAAACATAATTGACAAATAAATTTGGCTACCTCTGTAGCATACAATAATTTTATGTAATGATTATAATTATTTAAAAACATACACTAAGTCATTTTAGAATTATAAATTTCCCATAATTTTGGAACATATACCAATAACATATTTATACAAATATAGCCCAAAGAAAACAAAACGCTGTTTTACATTTGATAATCCTTCCCGTATGACTTTATACTAAATAAACTAAATGTCACTGTTTGCATTAGTGCATTGTTGGTGTCAAACCAATTTCTTAATAAAATCTTACAGACAAATGTATTCAATCTTAATCAGTTTGACTGTAAGGTAAGATTCTCATAAACCTTTTATAACCCTTTACAATTTTTGTTAAAGAGTAGATTAAAAGGAGGTTTTTGCTCTAAGGAAAACCTGTTGTGTTTTTATTCCAGTGTATGGAAACACTGAATAATACCCCTTTAACTTTGGCCAATATGTTCACACACAGAATTTTTTTTACAAGATTAATTTTTCACAAACCGTTCACAACTTGTTTAAGCCTTCAGCCTTATTTTATCTAACTTAAAACAATCCTTTAGCCAAAAAGTAAATAAATCCATATTCCCATGACTTCTTATAATCTTTTACCAAAAGTATATTCTACTTTCCTTACAGGCCTTGTGTGTAGACTGTTTGTCAATAGTCTCAATTACATGTTAAGTGTTAATTCTTAATGACTTTTACTTTTGGTAAAAACCTTGGTAAGTATGGGATTTTAATTATGTACTAGGTGTGGAGCCTGGGACCCGGACAGAAGTGCAGATAAGGTCTGACTCTTTCCAGAGTCTCACTCCACATGTACCAGGCCTTACCTAGCTATAAAACAGGCAAGTTGTACAGTTAAGAGTCATAGTGGCATTTTATGAAGCCTTTAGGAGGCCTAATCACCTTTAAATTGTACATTTCTTGCATAAATTCCCTTTCATAAATTATTTCACAACTTACACAGACAATCTTCGACATACTTGGACTTTCCCACTTGTCCTAAACATCTCTCTTTTTAAACAACCAGTTATTTTACTTTAGGACAACAATTTACATACAAGAGCATTTCTTACATAAAATTTCTATTATTTATAACCTTCTTTGCCTAGCTAGTGGTCATGGTTAATTTCACATATCTCCAGGCCTTATCTAGAATCTAATGCTCCAAAACAAATTGAATAATTTTAAAAAGTTAAGCAGTTTGTGACCTTAAAGTATTTAGCAAACTTAATATCTGACCCACATAATTTAAACCCAATGTTTACATTTTTGAAGATATTTTTATTTACTGATAATGTTTAAAACCGTCTTTATTTCCCAAATATTACTTAAGTCACGTGAACTATATGAAAGGCATTAAACATTACTTTTCTGACAAAATATTTGATTTCAGGTCTTATTATTAAACCAGTTAATCAAAGCTCTTTCACATATAAACATCACACACACAACACATATAAATACACAGAGAGAAGATAGAGGACTCATTCCCTAAGGCAGGAATTGAACCCTGAACCCAGGCCACCATTGTGATGGCAGAGACCAAGAGAAAGTACTGCCACATGGTTACAAGGTCAAGCTCCCAAGGACATACAAAAGGGAAACCTTATCCAGTTTTTTTCAGGGACCTGCAACAAAGTTTGTAACTGACAGTTTGCTGGGCCATCTTGAAAAGCAGGCTTACAGGTGCCCTAAGCCCATGTTCTATCCTAAGGTACTCCTGTTCATGACACAACAATACAGAAAGACACACAAAGTACACCAGATTCACTACAGCTTAAGACTAGCTTCACAATTCCTTTTTCCCATAATCAAAACTTTGTAGGAGATAAACACTAATTTTTACCATTCATTCAACTGGTTTGCAGAGAGAGAAAAAGAAAAGAATTGCCTCAGGCAGGGTGGGGAAGGCAAAGAGTTCAGGGAGACCAGAGAAAGACCCACCTGTTGTTCAAAAGTTCAGGTGGCCACTTGTTGGTCACAGAGGGATCTTTTCCAGGAGTTCCATCAGCTGTCAAGGTTTTCCCGTTTTGGGGAGGAAAAAGCTCCCCATGTCATATGTTCCTGTACATGCCTAATCCTATCACCCATAGCCATCAGCAAAGAGTACAAGGCAGATTAATCCAAAGAGAATAGCAGTTCACATCCCACAGTGCCAAACGTATTCTTAGCCAAAAGGGATTTTACTGAGAGAGGCCTCTAACCCCTAAATCTTATAAGGAACCCTAACCCTCCTAAGTTGGGCCTCTAACCCAAGGTTGGCCAAGAATCCTTGCCTTTTATTAAGGGGGGACTGTAACCCAGTGTCTTAGGAGAGACCCTGACTCCCCTAAGTTGAGCCTCTAACCCAATCCCATTATTTACCTGGGTACCCCACCACTTACCCAAAGTTGGCTGATCAGTGTTGCAGTCCATTTCCTTTGGATTGGGGAGTTTCTTCAGTATCATCCCTTTGGGGTTTGCCAGAAAGATGTTACCAGGCGCCACCACTTGCCCAAAGTTAGCCTTTGGGCTGGGGGTTTCCTTATTATAGTCCATTCCATGGTTGCCAGAAAGATGTTAGAGAAAAGATTCCTGATCCAGACCCCAAGAGAGAGTTCTTGGATCTTGTACAAGAAAGAATTCAGGGTATCCATAGAGTAAAGTGAAAGCAAGTTTATTAAGAAAGCAGAGGAATAAAAGAATGGCTACTCCATAGACAGAACAGCCCCATGGGCTGCTGGTTGCCCATTTTTATGGTTATTTCTAGATGATATGCAAAACAAGGGGTGGATTATTCATGCCTCCCCTTTCTAGGCCATATAAGGTAATTTCCTGATGTTGCCATGGCATTTGTAAACTGTCATGGCACTAGTGGGAGTGTAGCAGTGAGGACAACCAGAGGTCACTCTCATGGCCATCTTGGTTTTGATGGGTTTTGACTGGCTTCTTTACTGCAAGCTGTTTTATCAGCAAGATCTTTATGATCTGTATTTTGTGCTGACCTCCTCTCTCATTCTGTGACTTAGAATGCCTTAACCATCTGGGAATGCAGTCCAGTAGGTCTCAGCCTTATTTTACCCAGCTCCTATTCAAGATGGAGTTGCTCTGGTTCGCACACCTCTGACAGTTCCACTGTAGTGTGATGAACTCTTGGTTGGTCACTTGTGCAAATCATCAGATATGTGCTTGCTTCTGTTCACAAATCCTAAGGAGATACCCACTGATAGATACACAGCATCCACTCATGTAGTGTCTGAATCAACCTTCCTGCTCTGGCGGGAGAGACCTTTTGGATAAAACAACCTCTTAACAGTAGAGAAAATCCTTGCTAGCTACCAATATGTATCAATCTAGTCCTTTGTCAGTAAAAAAGAATGGATCGCCATGGATCATTTGGACATTTGAGGCAAATCAATATCATGAAAGTGGAGAATCAAGTTTAACCAAATGAATGGTGGTGGCAGAAAGGCTAGCTGTCTGCCAAAGATTAATGATCTCCATTCATGGCATAGAGCTTTCCTGGAATCAAATGCCCAGCCAGTGGCATTTCCCAGACACCTTCGCCGCCAGGTAGAGTCATGTGACTAGCTCTCACTAGAGAGCTCTTAACCACATTTAAGCAGATGTGGTAAGAGTCATTTCTTGGCCAAAGTAATCAAGAAGGTAGTTTGTCTTTCCCACTTACTTCTTTCCCCATAGCTTCTGCACTTACTTCTTCTACACAAATATCACCTCCTCAGAGACCTTCCCTGATATTCCTAAATAAAATAGCTCACACTCTGCCCTTGCTGTATCACTCTTAATTTAGCCCATTGCCATGCTTTACTTGTTCTTATAGCACTTCTCACCATGTGATTTTTGATTACATATATCTGTTTATGTGTTATAAAAAAATCTGTCTTCCCCACTAGAATAAAAACTCCATGAGGGCAGGGTATTTAAATTATTGCAGCTATATCCCAGCCTCTATAGCAGTGCTGTAACCTATCAAGCGTTCAGTACATAGACAGAATGAATGATTAAAGCTTTGATGGTGATGAAATGCATGTGCCTCAAGAAAGAGTATCATATCATTCAGTTTTTAGTTAGGTATCAATACTGAGGTTGTCAAGGGGTGCTAGAGGAACTCAAGGATAGTTTTGCATCCTTCACATATAAATAGACCCAGTGGGGTAGGCTTTAAAAAGTCTAAGGCTACAATTTCCAGGTAAGTATATTGACAAGAGTTGAGGGAAGGTATTGAATTTTTGCTGCACCCACCCTTGTTCACAGTGGTCTGTGGGCTCTGTCACTTCCATTACAGTTCTTGGCCATAATGAGAAGCTATAGGATGCTTAAGTACTCTCTGAGGGATGCTGTTTTGTTCAGCTTTCAAACCATAGAAAAGTGTGAAAATTAGGTCACACCTCATGAAATTTAAATAACAAAACATTCTACCTAGCTTTATAATACCCTAGTTCTCCAACTGCTATATTTCATTATGCCTATAAATGGGAATTATTATTTTTGGTTTAGTATCACAACTTGAGGTGAATTTCTGCCCACCCCTATCCTTGGCCATTGTAGGGGAACTGACATGTTTTATTATTTATTCTTGCTCCTCAGAATGGATTGGGATGATGAATATTCTCATAATTCTTTTGACCTACATTGTTTGTTAAACTCATTTCCTGGAGACTTGGAGTTTGAGCAGATCTTCAGTGATATTGATGAAAAGATTGAACAAAATGCTGCAAGGTAAATATTGTTAATTATTTAAAACAAGTTGTTTTCACATTTCACTTATATGAAATTTACCTGGTCTATTTGTGTCCTGCTCTTAGATAATTTTAGGTTTTAATTGTCATTAACTTTCCCCCAAAATATTGATTAGACTCCCTCTCACTTAAAGTGTACATGGTTGTCTTTATCTGAGTAGCATTTTTAAGACTAGAAAATATAAGCACTATCTTGAAGTAGGCAATTAAAGTTTATTAAATTGGCACTAATGTTTTTTTAGAGCTTGTCAATATTGATGTTCTGAATTTTCATTAATATGGTTAGAGTGTAAGGCCATGATTGCTTGAGTTACTAAAAACAGAACATTAAAATTTTTTTGCATAATATTTAAGATTCTTTCTCACTTAAGTAGGAGGCTAGAGACTTTATAGAGAGTTGTTATACTAGATTAGTCATCACCTATCCCAAAAAGTCGTGTTGCCAAATACTGAGGGAAACAGTGACAGCTAAATGGTTTCTCATTAATACGTGTTCTTTGGTAGAAAGGACTCTGTCTTCATATGTAGTTGTGGACCCTATAATCAGACAGTTACTTATTTGCATCATTTTGATCAGCGGTTCTACTTTACCTCATGTGGGTTACAAATGTGCAAACCACAGTAAAAATTAATATTGTGTAATGATACATAGCATTTCCTTTTTTAAAATTTAAGATATAGTTACATTGAATTTCCAAAGAAACTGAAACAAGTAAGTGAAATGTTCCTATGATATTTTTCCTTCTGCTTTACATGAGAATAGTTAGTTCTTTATTATAACAATGGGCATAAGTAAATTGAAAAGATAGCATATTATTGGAGAATTATACTTAAAAACATCTCCCATCCCAGAAATCCTCTCCATGAAGGTAGTAGAGAAAGGAAAAAGAAACGCTTTTATTATTGAATTAAAAACCAGAATATGATGTGCATTTCAGGCAGTTCACTAAGAGCTTGCAAAAATGGAAGGGAATCTCACTCCTTTAAATAGCGAAGCAGATACAGCCCATTACATTACATGTTATCAAGATAAACAATCACTAGTCCTCAAGTAGGAAGACTGGATAGCACATTTTGTCACACATAGTTCATCCTAACTTTTTACCATGGTAAATTAGTGTTAGCTAATTGGCTTTATCCTGAGGAGAAACAAACTTTTTTGTGTCTTTATAACCGGAGATCGTTTTGCAAATTGGAACAGGCAACCAATGAAGTTAGGCTCTTACTCTCTCACAGGAACTGGGAGATTGGGCAGCTATCTCCCTTGATGCTTGCATTTCAAAAAGATAGCTCCCAGTTTCTTGAGAAGGGCATTCCTGGGTCACAAAGCTGACAAAAGGACTGCTGACAAGTTTTCCAAAGAATAGATACATGTCTTCCTAGTCTTCCAAGGAATAGATACATGGCAAAAGATGAGAAAGTACTTATGATTACAGGCTTTTCTGTTTTTTGTTTTTTTTTTTTTTTAGTCACCCAGGCTGGAGTGCAATGATGCAATTTCAGCTCACTGAAACCTCTGCCTCCCTGGCTCAAGCGATTCTTGTGCCTCAGCCTCTCGAGTAGCTGGGATTACAGGCACCTGCTGCCACACACAGCTAATTTTTGTATTCTTTGTAGAGATGGGGTTTCATGATGTTGACCAGGCTGGTCTTGAACTCCTGACCTCAGGTGATCCACCCGCCACAGCCTCCCAAAGTGCTGGGATTACAGGCGCGAGCCACCATGCTTGGCCTATGATTACAAGCTTTCTAAGGTAAATGCTCTAAGGAAAAAGGAGAGGAGGGAAATCTTTTCCCTTATTTTCAACAGGGAAAATTAAACTTTTTATTTTTAATTTGTATTTGCCCTTTATACTATACCTATACATATACACATTATATATGTATTTTAGAGATAGACAACCAAACTGTGAATGTATAGTTGATATTTCATATAAATATAAAATAAACTTTAGGGTAATTATGTATTTATATAACTTTCATGTTATATATTTATGTATTTTATGACACAGTTTCTAACTCAAAGAAACTTACAAATGAAAATAGTATTTACTTAAATAGATTAACAAGACATTACCTAAATTTCAGAGATGCTTATATTTTTAAAAATTGAACTATTTTTTAAAAGGTAAACCTTTTCCTTCACAATGGAACTTAGGCTCCATCAAAATAAAACAAGTCACTGAACTCGGATGCTTTTGTTCTGGATTGCTTATTTTTATTTATGAACCATATATACTTAATTTTTTGCCTTACCTAGTCAAAAAGAAATCATATTTAAAAGTAAAACAGTGATTAAAACATTGTATTTTGCATTAAAAAATAGTTATTAGGTCAAAACTCAGATGTTAGTATTAAATAGATGTTAGAAAATACAGTATGGAACATAGGATATAATTTTTAAATTAAAAATATTTTATTGCTCATATATTAAAACGAACCTAGAGCAGAACCACCTCAAGTGACCATTGATCTTCACAAGGGACAAAATAAGGAAGTAGCTGTATGTGCTGTATGCTACATTTAGAATCAAGTCTATTTTTCATCAAATTCAATTATGTTTTCATTATACTCCAGAGAATAAACATAATAGTATAGAGTATATATATTTTTTAAAATAAAATACTGAATAATAACTGTGGTTCAGAAGAGTATAAATCATTTATGCGCTCATTTATTGCCTTCTAACAGAATAGCTTTTAGAAAATTGTATGTCATGACGAATCAGTTATGCCACACTTACACTGCAGTAGTTGAATTACCCTTGGCATTTTTGTATTCTAACAGTTCTATTTATCTCCCAGTAGTGTACATTGAATAAGTAATGAACATCTGTATGGTATAGGTTTTCCTCCATAGTTTTAAAAGAAAAAAACAACATTAGTAATTCATTTTAAAATACGATAGTTTTTTCCTTATACTTGAATTTTTAAAGTAGCAGTGACCCTGACATCTATTTATGAATTCCTTCTCTCTCCTTAATATCATCAGGTTTTATGAGCCACAGGGTCTATTGCTTCCCCAAAGCAGTGATTCACCAGAATGGACCAGTGTGCCCAAAGGTCACTGAACCTTCACCTGGGCTGTCATTCTCAGACCACTTCACTTTTACATTCTCCTTTCCATTCAAGTCAGACCTGGGTGACTAATAGGTCCGACAGCAGAAATTAGTGATAATGAATCATTTATTCAAACACATATCAAAATAGGTAACAAGAGGTAAATAACATGCCAAAGAGAAACATTATGAATGTTGTACCTCCGTATCATTAGTTCCCTAACTGAAAACTGCATACTTTAGCACTAATGAACTGAGTGGTACATGTTTTACAAAATATTGAGGTACAGAAGTTCTTCTGGGCTCACAATATGACACAGCATAGGCCGGACGCGGTGGGCTCATGCCTGTAATCCCAGCACTTTAGGAGGCTGAGGTAGGCAGATCACAAAGTCAGGAGTTCGAGACTAGCCTGGCCAATATGGTGAAACCTCGTCTCTACTAAAAATACAAAAATCAGCCAGGCATGGTGGTGTGCACCTGTAATCCCAGCTACTCAGGAGGCTGAGGCAGGAGAATTGCTTGAACCCAGGAGGCGGAGGTTGCAGTGAGCCAAGATTGCGCCACTGCACTCCAGCCTGGGCAACAGAGCAAGATTCCATCTCAAAAAAAAAAAAAAAGACACAGAATGATTTTTTTCCCCCTTAATGTTCAGTTGGATAAATATAATTGTATCTTAACAATTTATTTTACTTTTTCATTTCCTAATTATAGACAACCTCTGTGTGTATCTTAGGAAGTAAATTTTGCTAGTACCAATGCCGCTGGACTCCTTTTTTTTCTTCTTTTTTTTTTTAATCTAAAGAAAGATGTAATCTCAACACTTTGGGAGGCCAAGGCAGGAAGATCACTTGAGGGCAGGAGTTTAAAACTCGCCTGGACAACATAGCAATACCCCATCTCTACTGAAAAAAAAGAAAAAATTAGCCCAACCTTGGTTGGTTGCTCACCTGTGGTCCTAGCTACTCGGGAGGCTGAGGTGGGAGGACTGCTTGAGCCCAGGAATTTGAGGCTGCACACGCTATTGTACTCCAGCTTGGGCAACAGGCTGTCTGGAATGGAAGGGAGGAAAGGAAAGGAAAGGGAAAGGGAAATGAGGAAAGGAAAGAAAAGGAAAGAGGGAGGGAGGACCCGAGGCAGGGAGGAAGGAAGGAACAAGAAGTGCTACCAGGTCGGGTGGGGGCTCATGCCTACAATCCCAGCACTTTGGGAGGCTGCGTGCCGTGTGCAGATCTTTTGAGCTCAGGAACTTGAGACCAGCCTGGGCAACATGGCGAAACACTGTCTCTACAAAAAACAAAAACAAAAATTAGCTGGTGTGGTGGCATACCCCTGTGGATTTAGCTACTTGGGGTGCTGAGGTGGAAGGATCCCTTGAGCCTGGGAGGTGGAGGCTGCAGTGAGCTGTGATTGCACCACTGCGCTACTGCCTGGGCAACAATGTGAGCCCTGTCTCAAAAATAAGAATTGCTACTAGCAATAATACTATTTATTTGACTTCACCTAGAAAATGCAGGGAGAGGGGAGACATTTAACCATGTCTATTAATGAAAGGGTACATATTCCATAGATTACACTTCTTTTTTATATAATGCTTACATTTTTTGAGCTTCCATATTAAAAATTTGCTTTCAAGTTTTCCATATGATGGAATTTTATGACTATATATACATATGATGGTATTTTATGACTATATAGACACACAGACACACACACACACACAAATATTAATATATTTTATAGCCAGAGCAAATTATACAAAATGAAAATTAGTCATTTCAAAGGTTTTACTGTGCATTATTATTTCTGGCAATATTGTGGCACTTATTTAATAATAAGTAGATGCAAATTAATGTTTGCAATCATTTTTGTAACTTCCTGTGTTTGCACTTCAGTTTTGGGTTTCTTCATTATACACTACAT